GAACGTGTTAGTTTAGGGTATAGTCACACGATCTGCATTCCGGCAGCACTTCAACTACAAGATAGGAATTGGAATAAAGACGGATAGCAGTCTTATTCGGTGCGACTACATGCGACTGCTTCACAACTGCCGACTGACAAATGTGTAACTGCTATCACGTTCACCAATGATGGGGCCCTTTTGATGATGAAGTACTTCCTTATGTATTTTGTTTAGTTCTTCTTAGTACCCTCGCTTTTGTAAACATCATAATAATTAAGTGTATTCATGTCTCATTATAACGTTAAAATAAATCAGATCTTAACAAAACAATAGATTATTTTGAAATCAGAATAGTTTTAAAAAATCTTTAAAGAAACACATGCCCCGTCAATGAAAATTTTACTTCATAATTATTTTAAAGTACTATATTTCATACCAATAAAATCATTTGTATATATACAGATAAAATACCTAGTGCAGTTATATCTGCATTCTTTTTTTATGATATTATTAAAATTGGCGTCTCATTTTTTTAATAGTTATATTCTAATGTGGTATAATATATTACAATAAATCATGTTTCGTTTGTCTATTACGATTATCTATCTTTTGTCTTTTTTAAATACTTCCTAACTATATTATAATAAAAATAAGCTGACTTAAACGTAATAGGCTGAGGTAAATAACATAAGAACTTCTTATCTAATATAGCTTTCTGTGGGCACAAGTTTAGGCTGGGTACACATTTGTATCTATTAAACATACCAATGATTTATCAGTAATCGTCATCGACCCATATACAGGCCGTTACTTATAGCATATCTGAATTTTCATTGCGACTATGGTATGCAGTAATATAACATGCTATAGAATAATTGGAAACTTGAACGTTGAGCGTTTAGCTAAAATTTTATTTCAATTTCCATCAAAATTACCCGATTTATTTACCCGTTCAAAAAAGATGAAAAAATTGCATGTCGACATCTTACTGTTACAATTTTATGTCTTCTATTTTTGAAAATTCACTTTTCCGGCTTATAAAATTCAGTGCTCATATATCAACTGTGACAGCTGACACATCTGACACATCTCTTGATACATTTCAAAATATTTATATACCAAATAGAATTTTTTGTAAGGTTTTCCCTATCCTGTAAAATTTTAAAAAGTAGACACACGGTTTTGATAGTAAGTCGACGATATTAAAGTTCTACTAGGAAATATTTCCAGTACCATAACTAGTTACGCTACTTTTTTAACAGCCTGTATATACGTCGCGCTTGGCTTATGCGGTAGGAGATTCCACACATGTTCGAATGTTTCGTATTCATTCTCCGATTTGCTAATATCGTAATGTCTCCATCGTAAAAGTGTTGGGAATTAAGCCCGGGATATCCAAATCATGAGAAAAGTGTTACTAGGTTACAACTGATCTAGATTATTCCATCAAAGTTTTCGTAATTACGTAAAGTTGATGATTATATCTACGTAACGTATCACATATGGTTGCTTGCTACGAAGAACGTAGCACATGGTCGCGTAGCACTTGATTGATATCAAAATTAGCGAACGTGATAAGAATTGGAGATATAATGATACAAATGTACACCTGGACTACATTTCAAAATAAATCTACATCTATATGAACATCCTTACATATAAACAAAAAAACAATAACTACAAAGATGAACATTGGTTGTTAAAAGAAACTTTTCACAGAATTTTTTCTTTCCTCTTTTGCACAGAGAAAATGTTTTTATTCCTTTTCGATACTCCGAAACTTTCATAATAAAATAATGTGACCCCAATAATGTACAACACGTAAGGTTCGCATATGTATTCGTGAGGTTCTTATATTTGTAAAGGTATTTGTACTCACAATAAGAAGGCAAAACAAGACTATACAAATGTTAAAAATTTGCCTTTTTAATATCTACAAAGATAGCATATATTTATTCCAAATTATAATCAAAATAAAGCTGCGAATGCCCATATCTTACGTTATATTATTGTTGAACTACTTATATTTTCATTTTCTTTCTACCTAGTTACATAGTTCGTATTTTATACATTAGAAAGAGAAATGCATAAGACTTTAAATATCACTAGATGACTCACATCCAATAGAATTATGTGTGTGTTTTTTTAATATGAAACAATAGAATTTGGTCCGAAGTTCAGATAATAATATCGCAAATTATGTAGAACAGATATAATTATTAAAAACGACGATATTTTAAAACATTTTAAATTACTGGACAATTATAAAAATTATAATAGTGTAATTAGATGTGCACGTGATTTAAAAAAAAATTTTTTTTCTCAAACATGCCCGATATTTTTTTTGTAATGAAGAACACGTAAAGAGCCTGATTTTTGCCCTAACAAACTTTTGAATATTTGACTATTACATATAACAAGGAAGTTCGTTCGTTTTTTTAGCGTATACTCGTTTTTTTTTTTAATTCCGGTTTTAAAAGGTTCTAAGTATGGTTAGAAAAAATATTTTATTAAGTTACTTATGCACAATGTATTCTCCTTCTCGCTTTATAATAACTTATTTTTGTAAACATTTGTATTCTTTTTTTTTTGCATTTATTGAGAAAAGCTCTATATAAGTTTCTGTGGAAAATGCAGTTACTTGATTTGTATTATTTATAAGAAGCAATCGCGGCTAGCTGCTTCTACCTCATACTTGTCCAGCAATTGCCAAGGTATATTATCTTACGATTGTTTTTTTAAAGTGTCAATAAAATCAGAGAATAGTTATCTGCAATTGTCTTTAGAAGTTTCATTACTTATTACTTAAGAAAATACTAAGGGCAAGCGAATTTAGTGTACGCCTGTGGAAATATAGAATAGAAAGAGGAAGATAATCTAACTAAAATCTAGGGTGCAAATCTAGATAAGTGTTCTTACAACTATCTATTCAGATAAATTTGGCAGTTTTCATTTTTATTTTCATCTAATGGTGCTATTTATTGCGTTTCTTATCATACGATGAGTCGATACTAAGAATGCATAATCGATATTTCGGTAAGTTTTCTAGAATATCGCAGATAGTTTGATCAAAATATTGCATATATTTAATTTTTTTAACCTCTTAAGACCCCGACTACATCTAAATGTACATAATACGTGATTCAGACCTAATCCATATTATTCTTATAATCTTGTAAACGCCGCATAAGTATAACCGCGTTTAGCGCTTTTCCAAGTTTACTGAGTCTTAAGACGTTAAGTATAGAGATAGTTATTTTGATCTATCGCATACGTCATATTTAGTACATTAATTCCTCTATGGTTACAATTATTTCATTGGGTAGATTTTTGTTAGAAGTTCCATCGAAGTATTTTCATAATAGAACAATCAGGAGTTGTATTACAGAATGTAACAATCGATAATTATTTTATTATTAACGAAAATGATGAAAAAATTTTTGTTACGTTTTCGATACACACATACTTTTACATTTGTTACAATGCGTCTTCTAACTGTTAAGAGTTTGCTATTCCTTCCATGATAAGATTGTTTAATATTTCGTTCGTTAGATAACAAGAAAGGTTTTCCCGATTTAATATATGTAATATATTGCACTTTTCAAGAATAGTGGTCCAATCCGAAATAGTCCCTTTTTTGACTTATTATTGAGATTTATTCAGAAACGTGATATTTTATTGTGAATGGGACACCGAGCTTTTCATTGGTTAAAACAATCACATGACAATATTGGGAGTCTGCGATTCGTCAACTTTGCACGGGAAATACGTCTCACTTTATTTTAGAACGTAAATAGGTCACTATTCTAGAAAGCCATCGAATCTTCTTTCAAAATAGCGAAATATTTATTTTGAAATGTCCTGCTAGTGAACTGATGAAAATTTTAATTCCAAAGACATACTCTTTAAAAGAGACTTATACTTGCGGGGTTTAAGTAATTTGATTCAACTCGATATTATAATTAGGCAGATTTTGACCTAAAACAACTTCCAAAGTCCCGTGAAACTGAGTTTAACAAACTGTTTTGTTAGGCTTTATTATTTCTATTATGTACAATTGGGCGTGTGTTTACCTTAACGCAACAACCTTTTCGGGCTTCGCAGTTCTTCTCCGAATATCAGGACAGCTCGTTTCTTGTAGTTTCTGTAGTTCTGGTAATAACCATTCTGAACTTTCTCGAATAGACACGAACTAACTTACTTGTTTTGTTTCACGGATAAATATAACAAGATAAGAACGCAAGGAAAAAGCTCTGGTTATACAAACTGGTACATAAAAACTGCCATAGGACTGAATTTCGCTAGAAATGTATTTATATTTGCACAGTAGGATCATTGGCCGGAGCTGTGTACAGGTTAGACGTTTGATTAGAACAATAACCTTTTTATCGCAACTTGAATATCGAGAAATCGAAAGCATTGTTGCTTCTAACTAAATTTCTCTTGTCTCTATGAAACACATTGTTGTAGGAACCAAGACACCGTTCTCTGAAGTTTTATTTTTACAATGTTTTTATTTTAAGTTACTATACGAAGTTTGTTTCTATGTTGCGTTGTGTGACGTATTAACGTTTATAAGAAAGGATGATCTTAATATAGTAGCCGCAATGTCTTTATTAAACTAGGGAACGTTGATAGTAACAGCTATATTGGTAATATTTGATTATTTTTATTCCCCATTATTCCCCGTCGTCTATTATTATAAATATTAAATTGAAATAGCTATCATTTTATTTTGATTCAAAAGATTAATCCTACATTACTTCCATGTCATAATTTTCATGACTGAATTAAATTATTCTGTCGCCAACTAGACTATAGGATAAAGCACTTTAAATTTTCTGGTCACAGCTATTTTAATACTCTATAATACATAAATTTATAGTGTTTCAAGTCTACAATTTCATATACCTAATAAACGCTTAAATTGATTTTTCTGGACGTAAACATCTCCAAATTCAATAGTACTCCCCATCCAAGTACCACCGTTTAGATTGTTTGACGCGGACACAAAGTTGAAGAAGCAATTAAATTTAAAATAAGGCAGCCTTTCAAATACAATAATAATAATTACCAAGACACTGAAATGAACACCGATTGTTTTACTACTCGTACCGCACACTAGATGATCTTGCGTCAAACAATATAAAGAAGGCACTGACTCAACCATTACGGCATTTCTTATCGATGCTTCTTATCGCTTCCGTGCCGAGCAGAAAATGAAACATTCCACAAAGATTATCTTCAGGCCAATTTCTTTCCAGAAGTGTTCACAAGTCTCCTTTCATCCCGGGTCTTGTTTGAGGTCTAAGTTGGCTCTTCTGTCCTGCAAGGCCGCCAATAGCGCCTCTCGGACTTCCCTTTCTGAACTGCGCCACAATCTTATAAGTTCGTCTTCCGATAACAGCGACAGCTCTGATCTTCCGCCTGCCGGTGATACTCTAGGATATGGTGGAGCAGGAGGTACTTCCTGATCGTGAGAAACCATGATTTCTATACTGGCTCGTGGCGTAGGACCATCTATCCCTAAATAGTTCGATGAACGATCTGATACGTCTTGATAAGATCGTGTCGAAGAACCTTCTGCTCTTCGTACCATAGGTGATGGTGTTCGTAATCTAGTATTTATATCAGGAGGGGAATTAGTTAGACAACTTGTGTCACGACTCAGTCTTCTACCTATGTTGTGACTTGTTCGTTCATAAAAAGATGCCGAATCCGAACCTAAGACTGAGTCAGTACTGAACCTTCGTACGTTGAGTCCACCAAGACTGCATCTTTTTCGGCGTCCCCGAGGCGAGCGAATTTGCCGGGGTGATCGGCCTTGGCGGGGTGAACGAGCAGGAATTTCCGGCGATGGAGAAAGAAATTTCGATTCGGTCAACTCCTCTGACACATCGGGAGTCTCAACCGCGACGTGCTCTTTTATCGAATCTAAAGACTGATCACGGTCACGTCCTTGCTGTACCCTAATAAATAAAATGAATTCGTGTATATAGTATCGAATAAAAATAGCAAAAAGATGCATAATTAGAAGTACATCGAAATATTTACCTTCTGATTTCCTGTATCATCTCAAAAAACTGCGCTTTACTTTTTCTTCGTCTACGCTGTTCGTGTTCCTTCTGAAACAAATGCGCTTTCCTGACGTAATCTGATTTTTATTTCGACTCACCATTGAAGAATTACATCAAATAAAATTATTTCGTGGGTGATATTTACCCTTTTGACGCTTTTCTGGAAGAGCGAAGTGAAATGTCCCTGCCGAATTGTGTTAACGAGTTCCCGAGCCGCGTGGTGTGGTGAAACTAATTCCACGCAGTTAATGAATCTGTACAATTTCTGAAACAAAACATACGTCACTAAGCCAGAAGTTTGTCTATTTGTAGTGTCATTTATGTTACATATGTTAGTAATGCTTGCTTGGAAACCCTACTCTTTAGCAATGGGTGCACCACCTATATTTTGACCTTCTACTGATTTTGCAATTTGTGGAACTACAAAAAACAGGTGGGGTAAGAAAAATATACTTTATTATGAGCCAAATGTTTTGACCGCTAGGAAGAACAGATAAAGTCTTATAAGAATTTTGAAGTACACTAAACTTGGCTATGTTTGTCAGTTTTATAAATAAATTCCGATATATGATCTCGTGCTCTCAAGACTCACACCTGTCAAATTTGTTTTTCCCGCCTTTTGGAATTGAAGCATCGTAGCGACATCTCTTTGACATCATTTAAACTAATTTGTTTGTCTGTTTTATCGACTGAGAGACTATAAGTATATAATTCTTTTGATTAGAAGTTAAGGCTTCTAGCTCTTCCCTCGGTGTTCCTCTTACCCATATTGATTATATTGTATAAAGATTTCTTTTTTTAAGACTCACTTGAAGATTGGAACCCTAAGATGTATATGAAGCCTAAACAAAACAATTTAAGAACGGAAACAAAGTCAACACAAAAAGATTGTGCCCAGTCCGCAAAGGTAAGTGATCCTTCAGCGTTAAAAGCCACTGAGCTCAGTTTCCATTCAGGGTCGTAATTGATCAATACGGCCACGCCTTTATTTCAGTTAAATCTAACTATAAAGCGTGATACTCTCGCATTATCGAAGTCTTTGTATTGAAAATATATATATAAAGCCTAATAAGTAAATGTGTTATTGGCGAAGCTGACCAAAATTCATGCTTTCCGAAGTTTGAATGTACGAATTATGTCTGGGATTTTTTATACATTCAGCTGCTAAACATTCGGAGGACGCAAATCACGAATGTAGAGGGTTCGAAACCTTGATACTGTCTTTTACATAATTCCACAGAGTTTGGATTCATGTTCAAATACGAGTACAACAAATGAGTAATTTCATATGATTTCTGAGCCTTAATTTCTTGTCTGCAAATACTTTGATTAATCAAGTCCGTAAGTACAATCTCAATCAATCTATGCCGCTCACATTGCTGGGCGAATTGTTCAGATTATTTAAGACCTACTTTGGCCTAGCAGTAGCTGCGATTTTTAGTATATTGTAACCATACTTAAAATTTCGCTTTTAGGATAACAAAGTTATATAATCCACAAATTATTTTGATTCGTCAGCGGAACGAAGAGGAACTTTGTTTTAGCAACAAAATAGCTTTCATTATTGACTAAGTGGCGTGAAGACAAAATACTTTTAGGTAGATAGATAAAATGTTTATTGAAAAGCACACATACCAATATAATACAATAAATGGATTAAAAGAGAAACACACGAAAATAAAATTAAATTACGTAAAAAAAACCAAACACTAACGTAGCGATCAACCGCTTATGTGTGTTGCAGCAAGGCAATTTTGTTATATTAGACAACATCACGTACGTTGCTCTGATCTCAACATACAACAACAACGGTAACAACGACCCGAGACAATTTAGAAAAGTTAGTTCTACTAGTAGTATTGACCTAAACCGAAAAATTGATCGAAACCGGCATCTCAGAGATGGCGGCACCATGAAAATCCGATGGGTGTGCAAGTCACTCGACCACAGGGGCCGACAATTTTTCAAATTCGTGGCTTAGTGCGAAATATGTAAAGATTCACACGAAGCGTTACGCTTCTACATATAATGTCAAACGGCTACGGAGCGAAATTACCTACCTGCAGACTTCTTCCCTGAACGCTATAACTTAGGCCTTTTCAAGGCGAGAATGAATAGGTTTCATTTAGGTGTACATGCTCCATCGTCGACCTTATGGTCACTTTCCATCAGGTGAGATTAACCAACAAAAACATTTCCTCGGTCAATTCTTGGTAGATAAGGTCAACAATTTCGAATTAATTATGTACGTGAAATCGCAGAACAAATTATCTAGTTTATCCGACCAAAACCCGCGGGTTATAGGACCGACCTACTACGAGCGCCTACCCGACGAACTAAGAAATGAATGTTATGAGGAAACGTTCAGAAAGAACCTTTTATAGGACAAGTCCCTTTATTCAGTAATAAAGTACATTCAAAGCACTATATAAATTCAAGTTATTAATAAGTTACTATACTTTAACATACATTTATTAGTTATTAAGAACCTATATTGACGTTTCCTGTATACACTACCTACACTTGACATTGTAAGTTTAATTAAATTATTTATTAGTTTCATTAATAATCTTGATGTGTATATGTACACTATTGTGTAATTATATAATTCATTCTCAATATTTTGTAAACTGACGCTTACTTTTTGAAGAGTAGTATAAAATTACATGTAATTGTATTTGTATGAATTTGTAATGTTGAGAGAAATATACAAAACTAACTAACTACTTAACTTCGCGATCGAGTACTGTTCTTTGTTAACAAAATGTTGCAAAGTACCACGTGTCGCTTCGACTTGACACACTTTACCAATAATTCGCAATTTACTAAGTAATTATGTATTACAGTTCGCTGTTGTCACGTATAATGCATTAAGGTTGTTTATTCCGTAACATTCATGTTTTAGTTTTAGTGGTAATTAGAAATACGTGTTTAGTTGAGAACAATTTCGCACCCTTGGTGTAATAAGGTCACATTTGCAAAATGACTATACGAACGGAAATCACGCGAAAACTTTTTGCGCTTAAGTGAGATATAGAATTTCACAAGTTTGTGTATAATTTTCAAGCAATTTTGATGCATAATTATATTATTATATGGCTTTAATATACCAACATTAATATGCCTACTTTACTTTACTTTAATATACCTACATTAAATTATCACGCCATTGTTAGTATGGAATAAAAACAAAAATTATGATTTATTTTATGCATAAATGCGTTACATACTCAGATTTGGCAACGTACATCACTCATCGGACGAGGTTATGTAAAACTAACCAGTTTAATAATAACAAATATAACGTCGATTTAAGTACACATATAAAAATGCCAATTGACTAATGGAGAAAATTAAGATTTTGTGTTTTTTTCACTATCATGAAATCATTAAAGGTTTATATGTATTAAAATATTGTGTTAACATGTGAATTTAAGTATTTTGTACTGATCGATCGCTTTTCTCGTAATTATTCATCCAAATGAAACAAAAATTTAATAATATATTTTTTGGTCAAAATTGCAAATAGTTAATTTTACCTTTCAACCGACGATATAATGTAGGGTACTTAAAATATTCTTATTATAACAATAACTTGTTTAACTTTATGTACGTAGTTCATATCTGTACAACAACGAGAACGTAACATCTTACATCTAATAACTTTTATCATAAAATTTACATTCTTTTGTCGTCTTGTTAATGAAAAAAATGCTTACCTGACTGAAGAACATAATATTCCTACTCCTCCATATAGTTCCTTTGGGTTGGTGTCGCAGTACGGGTAAGGTGTATTTATAAAACAGATGCTCCACGATCAATATGAGACAGCCGACGATCATGCCCACACCAAGTAGGATGAACACACCCGCCACAGCTGCCACCCCTGTTAATTAAAGACGATGAATCTTATTTTTCTTTTAGAAATAGCCAATTGAACAGATTTAAGGTAAGCGTTCACAGCAAATTATTTAGTTGTAATGATGTGGCCTGGTGGGCAGAATCTGCCTGCGATGTCTGTCGCGAGTTCACATCCTGGCTTAGAATTTTCCTTTAGTTTTATAGTTTTTTTGCGTCAAAAATAAATATTTTTTTCTTAAATTTACGTTATTATCATTTTAAGTGCAATATTTGATACGCGTTGTTTGTAACATTTCTGAAGAAATTTTTCTTTGTATATTTCAATCTTTGGATCAGTAGTAATAACAAATTTACATACATACATATCATCGCGCCTGCCTCTCACCGGGGTAGGCAGAGACTATGGACCTCCACTTGCTACGCTCCTGACAAATCATCTTTCGCCTCCTCCACTCCCATCAATCTCTTTATACTTGCCCGTTTATTCTTGGTACTTTTAACCCTTCCTTTTTTAAGGACATCCTCAATCTGATTGGAATATCTTCGCCGCGGTCTACCTCTCTCCACACTTCCATCCACAGTCACTTTATAAATTTGTGCTGTCAATCTACCAACATTCATTCTTTCTACATAACCAAATCATCGAAGCATCCTTCTCTCTATCCTTGTCACTACATCATCTTTCATACCACATTGCAAATACATATATTGTTAGATATTATAAATATAAGGAAACCTAAACAGAACAGTAAAACGAAATTTAATTCATAGATAAACCGCACTTAAAAAGCTTTATATATTTGACGGCGGTACACTGAAACAACAATACAAGAATCACTAATAGAATTTTGACTTTTGCTGCTAAAATTCCGCTTTTTCGGATTTCAATACGAAGCTTTTAAAATAAAAAGAAACAAAAAGAGAATAAAAATTTCAGCTCCTCTTACTGAGAGCAGCTTTTCGTATTAAATAAGCATCAATTCATTGAAAAAAGGCCATAATCCCGGTTGCATGAGACTAAAGGTAGGACCAACTTGCAAAAATGTAAAACAAAGGGAATGAAATGAATAAGGAACAATCTTTCGTTTTACCATTAAGCTTCCATTACTATGATTAATGCTATTAAAAATTTATATCTTAGGCTTAAATATACACTACAACTGCTGTTTGATGGTCTCCGATTATTTTTATTAAGAAAAATTATATTTACGTGATGGTGATAAGGATTTTTATTGTATCTTGTGAAATGGAAGCACTCGGGTATTGCGAATTAAAATCAGCTGTTCCAAGTATTTGGGTTGAGTGGGTACGACCATTTAGTATAATAATAATACAGGTTGTTAACTTAATGCATTGCGTACAAAGTGGGTTATTTTACAATTTAATACAAATTTTTAGTAAAGGGAGCCATCTGCATCATAATGTGGTAAAGTAGATCATTTAGTATAGAATAGCAGATAAGTTCTTTGCGTTTTCAAAAGGTACTCATAGTAAAAATGTTACGTGTTATTAACATTATTATTAATTTATGTAAATTTTTACAACTTACAAAATGGTTATACTTGTCGCAAATTTAAATATTTCCCAAGCATTATCCATTTATCGATTTATGGTAATTAGAATTTGTTTGTCAAAAGGTCATATGTGTTACATACCTATTACAACACACAGCTATAACTAAGTAGGAGCATTTTATATTTACTTAAAAAAGACGAAAGATGGCATTGGTTGATTTTTCGCTTATACTGAATCACGATGATAAGATCCTAGGTGACTATTCCAACCGAATTTTATTTATAGTAGAGAATCAACCGGGCTATTTTCTTATTTCATTTATTTGTCAAAATACAAGTATGTATAGAAGTTCATATGAGACGAAATAAGTATAGTTTGACTGTGTCCTGCCAAATGATAGGCATGAAAATACTGAAAGTGTATTTATTATACCTACATTAACTCACATGCACTTCATCGAACTAAAATACTGACCTCTTTGTCGTAACTAACGCACTTGCATTTTGATAACTTTCGACTTTTTGGTAACAATATAGCACACAAAGTATTATTGCTGTCTAAAAAAATGTCAATAACGTTAATTTTGTTTATAAATAAAAATGACATTAAATAACATATTAAAATACCGATTAGAAGAAGCCGTAGATCTTATTTCGCTGATCCCAGAATATTAGCGGAGCCCATGTTTGAGCAATTTGTTAGTAGTGGTACGGCAGCCCACTAAAAAAATTTAAATTAAATCAAAATGTAGACCAAACTCTGGCAATTTCTATTTTATTTTATTTTATTTTACTCAATTTTATTGTTTAGTTTTGTTTATATTATTTTCATTTAAAAATGTTTCTGTAATTTAATTATAATATTTCAATTTTTAGTTTTTAAAGTTAATTTTTTTCATATTTATATTACTTCAATTTTAATTTTAATTTTTGTATGTAGTTTATTTTGTTATACTTATAAATATTGAATTCTTTATAAACTAACATAGTACCTAAGGTTTCTGTAAAACTAACGAGTGGACCTATGTTGTCTTAAGTAAAAAACTATTATTATTATTATTGTGTTTCGGTTTTGAAAGGTAAGGGTGCTGATGAAATTACAGGAACATGCGACTTGTCGATTTATGTCTCTAGGTGACGGGCGCAGTGGCAGTACCCCTCAGATAATAATAATAATAATAATAATAACGCACACATTCAACATAGCCCCGCTCTAGGGAAACCCTGTGTCGCGGGTGCCATGGACACACACATAGACAACCACAAATTACACCCAAACTCACGAGAGAAATAAATGTAGGTCATACAAATATTTTTCCCGGCCCGGGAATCGAACCTGGAACCTCTGCGTGGCAGTCTGCGTGGCGGCATGGTGACTGTTAGGCCACGGAGGCAGTCAAAAGATCTTTGTGATTTAAAGCTCTGAGTGGCACTGCAACTGTATGTTGGTCTTGTCACTTGGTATCATTGGATCGAATTCGTTAAAAATATCCATTACGTTAGTTACGATAATTAAAGCAGCATAGTAACATTTTTTTTAATATCACATAAGCTTGCACGCATGAATTTAGGAAGTCAATCTGGAATTTAAATGCGGTGATAGTTATTTGGGTCAACCTTTTATTGACAATATTTGTAAAATGCACATAACTAGATGTCCAAATAGGAATAATTTGAATAATGTCAAAATAAATATATAAATGAACTAAGAGATTTGTCATCCAAAAATTCTGAAACTGTTTAGCACATTTTAGAAGTTGTAGTCAAAGTATTTGTGAATATATCTCTGTGCCAATTTTTCAAACTCACGAGATAAATAAATGTAGGCCATACAAATATTTCTCCCGACTCGACCTCTACGCGGCAGTCTAGCATGATGACCGTTTGGCCACGGAGGTAGTTCAAGTTCAAATTTATTGTAGTATGTGTAAATAATTTTAATTGTCCGAAATTGAAAATTAAAAAATGTGTCAAAGTGACTTATTTTTCATCTCTATTTTATGAATGTCACCCCAATCACCATTCGAAATGTAATCTAAATAAAGCTAACTTTTTTCACAAAATCGTTGTTAATCGATTAGTATAATATATCTGTATATCTTATCACAATTAATCACTGTCGTCTATTAAGGGTAAGGGCAGTCAAAAGTAAATACTACACATTAATAAAAGTAATATCTTGATAAAACAAAGATCACCGTTGTCTGCCCGAATAATCCTGATTAATTAGACGTATCAGGGTTACCATAAATTGGAAGCTTCAGAACGGGATCTTTTGATCTTTGTAGCGAACTTTGCAGTATAAGTATGGAATGCCAATATTTTCCTAACGGTTACTACTGTGAGTTCTGGATGACGAGGTGGCGGGTTCGGTTCCAGGTAGGATAGCAATTAGGAAATGAACTGTTCTTAATTTGACTCTCGTCTGGGTATTGTGACAGATTAGTGTCACAGATTGATAACCTCGGTGACCTAACGGTCTACATTGTGGGCGATGGATGCGGATGTCCCGGGTTCAATTTCCGGTAGGGCCAATTTGGGATATGAAAATTTGTGAATTGGTTCTGGTCTGGGTGTTCTGGGAAATGCCCCAGTATTCTGGTAATCTGGTACTCAAAGCACAGGGAATGTCCTAGTTTGAAACCAGGCAGTTAGTCTTTAGTTAATTACCGTAGATCAAATTAAGTTACTACCAGAGACAATCTGAGATCATGTCTGTAAAAAAATATATAATGCTTTTCGGTTTGATATTAAAGATATAAATAATAATTAATTATTTAAACATTATCAGTACGTAATTATTGGCGATTCTGGCGCACTCGTTCAGTAGGAATGTGGACCGTCGCGTTGGTATGGTTTAAGGGCGAGAATAGTTTGGTGGCGTTTAAAGGGGTTTTGTGAAAGGGTTATGTCGTTTTGTTTCTGAGTGAGTTTTGGTGTTTGGGCTGAGGGGTCGCGGGGGTCAGGTAACGTTGCATAGCGTGTTGTTTGATGCGGTGCTGGCGTTTGTGGTGAGCCGCGGGGTCGGCGATGGCTGGTCGTGCGCGTGCGGTGTTGTTCGTTCGTTCTGGGTTGTACCCAATATAGGTATTCTCTAGTTAAAGGTTAGTAACTGGTATGATCGTCTCGCAAATTAATAAGCCATATTGCAACACTTTCAATGTTTAAATTTTCGGAAATAATCAGAAATGTCGTATCTAAGAGCGGTTACAAGTGGCGACGTTTGACACAAACGCGCGATTGCAAACCTACGCTTTTGATTTATAAGCGATTACATCGATGAAATCGCGCGTTTGTATCGATGCAGTCCCGCGTTTGCATAGATGTAATCGCCTATAAATCGCAAGTGTAGCGATGCAATCACGCGTTTCACGAACGCGTCTTTGCATCGCTGCTAAAAGTCCCCGTCTGTAACTCTTAATAAATTTTTAATTGTATAAAAAGGTTTGTGTAAAATCATATATTTTATTTACTTTTAGTACATTTTTCAATGAACTATATCTCTGTAATC